GGTCGTAGAGTGACTATGTTGGTTAATAAAAAATTATTTAGGGTCGTAGAGTGACTATGTCGGTTAATAAAAAATTATTTCAGGTCACAGAGTGATTATGTCAAATAATAAAAATTAGTTTAGGGTTGTAGAATCATTATGACATCTAATAAAAATTTATTTAGGGTCATAGAGTCATTATGTCAATTAAAAAAAATTGTCTAGGGTCGTAGAGTCATTATGTCAGTTAATAAAAAATTATTTAGTATCATAGAGTGACTATGTCGGTTAATAAAAAATTATTTAAAGTCGTAGAGTGATTATGTCAAATAATAAAAATTATTTTAAGGTTGTAGAATCATTATGACATCTAATAAAAATTTATTTAGGGTCGTAGAGTCATTAAGCAATTTTTTAGTTATGTATTCATTCAGATTAATTGTAATGAAAGTGAAATGCACAGAATGTTTAAAATTGTTACGTACAGATCTTTTCGCAGTTAGCTGCAGTATAGCTACATATATGGTTGTAGGTTATAGTTAACCAAATTCCTATACTGCCTTAATATTTCCACAGAATAAATGTCGACAAATAACCGTAACTATCAATCATTCTCCCAATCAAAATTACTCTGAAACGTTGAAGGCTTGTTACATAGCAAACGTGTTACCATTATCCGACAATCTTTATTGCTCGTCATATGTGAACATATGAGTCGCCATTACGCTCTTGGTCACAGTTCCAAAAATTTCACTCACATTGCCAGCTTATTATACAACGTCTTATTGTCATGAAAATGAGAGCAAAACTTTTCCCAAAGCCATTCAAAAAAGGGAAAGTGGAGATCGATACATTAAACGACACTGGAAACTACTTACGATCCATTGAGCAATCGAAACATTTTTGGGAACACGTTATCCGAGTGTTTTGACGCGATTCAAATTCCGGATTGTCCAGTTCTTTCTTTTGTAACGAATCATCCGATGATTTTCGTAAGCGAAAGGTATTTTGGGGACATGAATGTTTTTGTAGACAGGTTTAACGCATTAAGGAGTCTGAAGCTACAATCTAAATGTGTCTTACTCATGGCTAAAATGCGAGAAAAAATATCAGAAGGAGAATAAAAAAGAGATCGTACTTTTACCTTCTGAAGGCGAAAAACGGATCGTAATTCTTCTTCAAATTTCTAATTAGCTGTTCGAGTTTCGTAATACAGTTTGCTAAATTTTATGACTCGCATAATTAACCTGTGGAAACATCTTAAAGAAGAAACGATGAAGAAATAACTCTTGAAATATTTCGATCGTTTCTAGAAAAACTCGAATCTAGATCCACTCCTATTAATCATTGCCCAATCGAAAACAGGAGTCCGTTGAAATTAATTTACGCTTCAGCCTAAAATTTGCATAGAGATAGTGCAAAAAACAAATCGAAGGTAAAAGATCGACTCGTTTTCACATAGCAAAGTATTTTGTTCTGTAAGAATATCAAAAACTCGTTTACTTTCATATGTGAAGGTCTGACCCTTACATAATTACTGTTACAGTTCTTAACGCGTAATATTAAGTCGTTAACCGTGTTTTTGCCTTATGACAGTATATAAAATTCCATAATTCTTTGCGTAAATACTGTAGCAAAGTCCGATGTCAAATGTCGGATTAAAGACTTTCTAAAATTCGACGCAGCACCCTTAACAAAGACCGTCTAAAAACGTTTGTAGTTTCCACAATTATGTGGAAAACGCGCCATAAACGGTGATGCGTATTCGTTTCATCGAATTTGGTGAGAGAGTAGAAAATTCTCCTAGTCTTTTGTTTGCTACTGCAAAAAAGATTTGACTAAACATAGACACTAAAGAAAAAGAAAATTGTTGACCCGGATTGCAACGTGAGATTTCGAGAATCAGGATTCGGTTCCCAGATCGCAGCCAAGGTTTGAGAATCGTACACAATAAGATCAGATAGCGTTCATATGCCGATCGCTTGTCGCGAGGAAGTGTCGAAACCTTTTCATTTGCGTATAATTAATATCTCGACAGCGAGTCAATTAATAATCAGTTTCGAATCTCTGGGACTATTTTAATTATTTGTCCAAAATTTGAATATTTAAAACATTAGTTACATTGTTGATTATTTTTTTTAATTATCCTCGCAGATGTTAGTTTCGTAATTCCTTGTACAAACGTGGGAAAAGGTTTTCAAGAAAAGAAGACATGTTTCTTTAAAAAACATTTATAAAATCAATTTATTGCATGATTCGTAACTAGGCAGAAGGAGAACTTTTGGTACTGCGCTCGTCATGTGTCTCTTGCGATGCGAGGGGGTTAGACGCGAAAGGGCAACACTTGAAGGAAGGTGAAAATTCATCTAATAGTGTCCGAGGCCATGGCCCAGACCCTTAACAAGAACAGGGACCGCTTGTTTAACGAGGACAGGCTGTGGAACCGCGACTGGAACCGCGTGGGGGACTGCAACCTGAAAGTGTAAACGATTGATTAATTTCTATATGTTGTTATCAACTAGGGACAGTAGGTTTTGGCTCACCTTGACGGGGTACGGAGCTGGAACGGGCACGGGCACCTTAACTGGAACCGACACTGGTACGGGTCTGTCGACGGGGACCGCTACGGTTTTGGTTTGAACCACAGGGTAAGGTTGGGGCACCGGCACTGGCACTGCAACGGGTTGTGGGACCGCAACTGGCACCTGAATGTCATAGTGAAATGATTCAATGTCTTGCAATTTATTCAATGTCTTACAAGGTTCAATTTCGTACTTGTTCTCAAACTTTGTGCAATCAATATGTGGATGAAAAATGATTTTGGAAAGTGAGGCAGGATGTCTTACTCGAGAGGTACCAGAGTGGACATAATATCATAGTGATGAAACTCAATGATTCAACTTAATGTCTTACAAGGTTCAAATTCATACATGTTCTCAAACTTTATGCAATTAATATGTGGATGAAAAATCATTTTGGAACATGAGGCAGGATGTCTTACTCGAGAGGTACCAGAGTGGACTTAATATCATAGTGATGAAAATTAATGATTCAACTTAATGTCTTACAAGGTTCAAATTCGTACTTGTTCTCAAACTTCATGCAACTGATATGTGGATGAAAATTGATTTTAAGGTATGAGACAGCAGGTCATACTCCAGAGGTACCAGAGTGAACATAATATCATAGTGATTAAAATCAATGATTCAACTTAATGTATTACAAGGTTCAAATTCGTACATGTTCTCAAACTGTATGCAATTGATAAGTGGATGAAAATTGATTTCAAGATACGAGACAGCAAGTTATACTCTAGAGGTACTGGAGTCAACATAATATCATAATGATGAAAATCAATGACTCAGCCTAACATCTTATTTATACTGGGTGAAATTCTCCCAAACTCTATAGAATTGATACTTGATTTCTGAACATGAGAGAATCATACCCAAATGGTACTTGAACATAATATCACATATAGTAATGTGCATCAGACTCTGTAGAATTGATACATGCTGGACATGAGACAGTCATACCCAAAAGCTACCTGAACATAATACCACATATAGTAATGCGCAACAATGATACAACATAACATCCTATTTATCCTAGGTAAAATGCTCTCAAACTCTATAGAATTGACACCTGATTTCTGGACATGAAAGATTCATACTCAAAAGCTACCTAAACATAATACCACATATAGCAATGTGCAACGATAATACAACATAACATCCTATTTATCCTAGGTAAAATGCTCTCAAACTCTATAGAATTGATACCTGATTTCTGAAAATGAGACAATCAAACCCAAAAGCTACTGAACATAACATAACCTAAATTAACATAAATGATTCAGTATAACAACCTACTTATACCAACTAAAAACTCTATAATTGACACACTTCTGAACCTAAGACAATAGTCAAACCCCAACATAACATCACGTATAAATGACTCAACGTCTCCTAATCGCTCTACGTGTGAAAACTGAATTCAGGACATGATGCAACAGTCGATACATCGACCATTGAGATTTGTGGAAACGCAGCATTAAAAAATTGAGGGTTAATAGAGCGTGTCGAGTTTTGTAAGAGCAAGTGCGGACGTTTTCCTACCTTTACTGGGACTGGTCGGTCGACAGGGACTGGGTATGGTTTCGGGACCGCAACTGGCACAGCGACTGGTCTTTCGTGGATGGCGATCGCCAGTTTTCCGTGTCCCAATTCGCTTCCTAGGTGACCGCCGCCGAGACTCAAACCACCCAGTTCACCCAAGCCGCCCAGACCGAGCAGCCCACGCTTCTGGACCGTCTTTTCTTCGCCGGCGTACGCTGCCGCGATGAGCATCAGACATACCTTGAAAAAAGAACCAAAATAACTATCTTGGAAATAAGGGAGGAACTCATAAGTTGTGAGACTCAAGAGGGTTGATGGTTGATTCTCATTATTCTTTCATCTAGATGATGTGTCTAGAAGAGTCTAAGTCTATGATCTTTCAAATTACATTGTTAATACAGAAACTCGAAATAAAGACTCGATTGTACAATCTTGATGGAACTTTTCTTCCTCCAGAACTTCGCAATGAACTTTCTATTAGAAACGAATTTTCAACCCTTTCGAAAACGTGTCCACTGAACGTTCACCAAAACTCTTCAGAACACAATCACAAAATGATTGAAGAAAATGCAACCCGAAAACGTACCAGGGCCCTCATGTTGAGCGACTAATACTTTGGCTAGAATGGCTGGCTGGTAAATTAAATTGCTTCTGTCGCGTAGCTAGAAAACCACCCTTTATATAGGGAATTCACTTTCATTTTACGCGTGCACCCCGCCAATCGAAAGCCAATGGCCGATCGGTGTTCTATCGCCACACCTACCACGTATGTACACTATTTACCCACGACACGGCCACATACCGTCACACATTATAATATATAATGTATACGAGAGGTTGTATAACATGCTAAACGTGCACTAGTCTGGACTAGTACATAGAATGCTTGCAGTTTATGCAGATACATATAAGCGAGTATGCATTTCGAGCTTAGGCGGACTCTTTAATGAGGATACGAGATTGTGGAATTCTCGAGTGAATTTGTGGATTATGTGGAATGTGAGGGAAGTTTGGAGGTGAAGGTGTCATTTCTTTTATTCGGGGAAATTAGGGAAAGTTGTGTAAGGGTTGGTCATCTTTTGAAACACGGGTAAGCTTTTTGAGGAATTTTTGAACATAGATTTGCACAAAAATTAGACAAGGTACACCTTTGTAGACAGAGTTGAAATAGTTGCAAGAAAAGGAAAGCTGAAAATAGAGATCGTACGAGATAACAATTAATCGATTAACTGTGTGGTGTAAACCTCGAAATTATGCAAGAGTTAATTGATCTGGAAAACTAGAATACTTTACTCAGAAATATTTATGACCTGCCGAAGACATTTCCTGATTCCATTTTCCACTTTCTAAACAGTTTTAATCTCCCGCATGGATTTTAACTTGAAATAAAAAATTTATTTTTTTAAATATGTACAACATCTTTCGCAAATGTCGTTAGATTTTGTGACATTTTAGCGGGAATGATGCAATTTAAATTTGGTGTTTTACACGTGAAAATGACAGCTCTGCGCAAGTGAACTGGAACTGATGGAGATCGTAAACTTGTATTTCATAGGTAAATATGAATCGTGTACATAAACATGTAATGATTTTACAATGTCCAGTATTGACACACTTTTTAATGCGAGCAAATTACGATAAGATAACATACATTTAATTCATAACGATGTGTAGATATACTTAACGATGTAAGTACACATCAAATGTACTCAACACAATTAAGATAAAAATTGACTAGTTTAATTTGTCCAATTAAACTGTAACTTTACAATCTTTTGTTACGTCAATTTACAGTAATTAAACGTTATCACAGTCATAAAGCAACTGTCAATTAAAAGTGACATTAAATGTACACTGTGACTTAAGTATTACGTGACAAATCCGATACACTTTCAATAGCAGCAAAAAGTGTCCTATTTTATGGCCGATATCGATCAATTTGGTTGCATAGATTCTTATCACGATTTGTATTAGTCGACAGGTCACTTACATACTAAATCACGTCCGAAGATAATTATGTCGCAGCTCTAGTTTTATTATTCACTCCACAAAATTGTTGCAAACGATGTTTCAAAACAATTCGAAAAAATAGAAGCTCGTCATTAGTGACCCGAAACTTAGAAAGCGTGACGTAATATAGTTTCGAACAGCTGACTGGTTGATTAAGAATGAAACGGGCTGTTTGACGTGTTATCAGCTGCGATCTCGCTGATTTGTACAGGCGATTTCTTTGACGCGTATAAATCGATTACTGCAATTTCTGTCAAATCTATTGTAACAAACTAAATTATGTCTGTAATTCATCAGAGTATATGGCCACGCGCTACATCGCCACGTGGAGGAATTCGTGATGCAACGCGTTGCAGTTCGTGTTGCAATCCCCGTTGCAACGTATTATGCGTTGTAAAATTGCAACGCAATTTACAAATTACAACTTGCGGTCCACTCAAAGTATGTTGTTCTCAAATTCTTAACACGGGTTACGTGACAGGATAAAAGGACGAATTCCTCTCGATCCTTAGGCTCTCACTTTCTGCTAATAGTCTCGGTGAAAACAGTGGTTGCTATCAAGATCCGCCTTACGTAATACACATACTGGATCAATTCTCTTTCCATGCGTAATATTCCTTGTTATTCTACCTCTTTTTCAACGAACGATAAGATATTAAAAATGAAACTGGTTTAATGGTGAAAGCGATAAAAATTTGATGACGAATACTCGATGACTAATATCAAAGGCCCAGCTTATTCAGAGCTAAATTGTTACGCCGGTCCAACTTCTTGTTCATAACAAATAGTAAAATTGTTCCACTGAAAGGTCTAACTTCTTGTTCATAGTAAAATTGTTCCTCTGAAAGGTGCTACTTTTTATTCATATCAAAATTGTTCCACTGAAAGGTTCAACTTCTTATTCATAGAAAAATTGTTCCTCTGAAAGGTGCAACTTCTTGTTCATAGCAAAATTGTTCCTCTGAAAGGTGCAACTTCTTGTTCATAGTAAAATTGTTCTACTGAAAGGTGCAACTTCTTGTTCATAGCAAAATTGTTCCTCTGAAAGGTTCAACTACTTGTTCATAGAAAAATTGTTCCACTGAAAGGTTCAACCTCTTGTTCATATCAAAATTGTTCCACTGAAAGGTTCAGCTTCTTGTTCATAGAAAAATTGTTCCTCTGAAAGGTGCAACTTCTTGTTCATAGCAAAATTGTTCCTCTGAAAGGTGCAACTTCTTGTTCATATCAAAATTGTTCCTCTGAAAGGTGCAACCTCTTGTTCATATCAAAATTGTTCCACTGAAAGGTTCAGCTTCTTGTTCATAGAAAAATTGTTCCTCTGAAAGGTTCAAGTTCTTGTTCATAGCAAAATTGTTCCACTCAAAGGTTCAACTCCTTATTCATAGCAAAATTGTTCCACCACATTATGTCTTAATAACAGTCTCGTACTGAAAGGTTCAACTTCTTGTTCATAGAAAAATTGTTCCTCTGAAAGGTTCAAGTTCTTGTTCATAGCAAAATTGTTCCACTCAAAGGTTCAACTCCTTATTCATAGCAAAATTGTTCCACCACATTATGTCTTAATAACAGTCTCGTATCAACATTACAAAGTATCCTCATTGTATCGAACTGCAGATTCAGATAATATAATAAATTAAAGTTATCGAGCGTGAAGGATTTTTTAATCGAATGAAATATCGTGTGAGCGAAGTTGTAGACGTATCACTGATAAGGTATAAAGTAGCGGTACGTGATACAGGATACGTGAGAAATTTCGCTGCGAGCGTACACACCCATTTCGATAGGCAACATTCGGACAACGCTAGAGACAGGATAGTACAAGTTGCAGTTACGTCAGAGATTTAACGAGCTCAGATACAATTACAAATGCCATAACTTAGATGCTATAGGTTCATTATTCATCGACGAACGATTGCATTGACCCTTTTATGAACGGTGACTGCGGAGCTGAGGAGAGATCTGTTACTCAATATCAAAATAAAACATAAATACATATATTTAAAAAAAATTATAATTAAGTCTATGAGGTAAATTGTGCAGAATTTTTTAGCAGTCAACAGTCAGGTTTGCAGACATAATTTTGAACATAAAATGGTGGACGAAATATTTTGTTAGAACAAAAGAGTGCAGGACTTTTTAGCAGTTAGCAGTAAGTTTTACAGACACCATTTTGGACATAAAATGGTGGACGAAATATTTTGTTAGAACAAAAGATTAGTGTCTTAACAAAAGAGTTTTGTCCTAAGAAGAGATAGAAGAATTAGTTGAACAAATTGAACAAGTTATGTTAATAGTGTAAGCATAAAAATTTGATCGAGTGTAAAGACCTGTAAACACCTGTGTCTAAAAATACCCTGTTTGTAAACAGCGGCATATTACGCATAGAGAAATTAAATATGACCAATGTAAGGTCGATCGATCATGCGGCACGCGACTTTTATCAGCGGGTATAGCAAATTGAAACCTGTTGGTTAAAGGGGAGGGGTCACCGGTAAGAACAAGGAACAATAGCAAGGCTAACTGCGAGCGTGGCGTTAATTCAAATCGACCATGGCAGAGACCTTCTTGCGGTAGGTCGCCATGAAGATTAGTTATACAAGAAGAAGCGCCTGGGGCAACATCGAGCCGCCGGTAATTCTCGTCTCGCTGGATTACATGATCTCGACTTGCGGATACGAGTTATTCGATGTAAAAGAACGATAAACTGGATACCAAGATCAATGTTAAAATTGCTTTTCTGTTCGTCAAACACGTTCGATAGAGAGAACTTATATTTTGTTTGAATAGATTTGTTCGAACGACGATTTGTTCGGAGCTCACAGCTCGTAAATAAGGAGACTAACAGTGTTAGGTTGCGAGAGCTATTCAACGGAAGCCAATTACGTTCTTTTTCCTTTTCAGATCATTATTGGTTCCGATATCTCGGCAAAACGATCGTGATCTCACGGAACGATATCCCTCACGAACTGCATCCGATCGGAATTCAGTGAAGGGTAGGCAACACACGGAGGAAACAGAAGCGTTGCAATACGCTCGTAAACGTGAACTCGTTGCAGAAGTGCACATGCAAAACCGTGCGACTGTCCAATGAGGGCCACTTTGCGGGTAAACGATGCTTAAAGAGTGGTAAAACTGTCTCTTCGAGCGCCCGTTACTTTTACGAAAGTACGGTTCGATGACGCAGGCTCGCTGGTTTATGAAATTTTACTGAAACTACGCGTTACCTTTTTACTGTGTTCAAACTAGTTTGTTAAATAAAACTGAGAGCTGTTTCAAACTTTATTGCTGTTGTACCACTTTGGAAATCATCTTTAATTCTGTTGTTAAACTCTTGTTCTACTCGTGACGCACTCGTGACGCACACATGTGATAACATGTGTGAAAAGTTTTATTTTTACAGTAACTGGATTTTAAGTATAATCTTCACAATCAAGGATTTTTAATTCTGTTGTTAACCTCTTCTCTTACTCATGACGCACTCGTGACGCACACATGTGATCACATGTGCTAAGAGTTTTATTTTTATAGTAACTGGATTTTAATTATAATCTTCATAATCAAGGATTGTAGAATACAAATAAGGTC